TTTTTGTTACAAAAAGTGAACAGACATGCAGCGATTTCATCACACTGTTTAGGCTGTGCTATGCATCGACAATACACTTTTCAAGCAGTCCTAGTCCTTCAACAAAGCTATTGTTGCGCGCATCTACATAGTGGCCACTGGATCACCCTCTCCCTCTCTCCACAATATCAAAATCCATACTGGTTACGTTAACTGCCTTCCATGTTATGCTATGAGTAATTCCTCCGTTGGAAGTACAACAGTGCATGAAGTATGAAGAACTTTGGATGTTTCAAGAAATTAGTCATGATGAATTCCCTGAACAATAACGACAACTACATTCCACATTACTTTGATACCTTCAACAGTATACATTGACAAACTTCAAGCATTCGCCAACTCCAAATGAGACTAGAATAAGTTGACTTGTAGTGTCAGCGTTCTGTGAAGTGAAAGATACAAAGAGTGATGTTACTGCTTAGGTAATTTCAGCCACTGCATTATATGGCAGACTAATATAGTTAACCCTGTGGAGTATTTTCAATTTCATTAAAGTCTTTTAACGAAGATTTTCAGGAGAAAGAATTAACAAATCTGAATAAAGTAATGTGGATTTAAGTGTTCTTTTAGGTTTGTAAGAGTCAGTTATTTCAAGATTTCTTATGGATTGATGCTGAGGGTACTGGACGGTTGTTCCGTCCTAGTCTGAGAAGTATCACCAGAACATAATCACAACCCCAACCAATATCGTGGGACAAATTAATCCATCATCAAACTTCAAGTAACCTAAAGCTTTACTTTCATAACACATCCTCCTTGATATAATCACATTTAGTTCAGTAAGATTCATTCAAAAGTAGTGACGATGTATTACGAGTATGTTGACGTGATGCCGTAACATTCCATCTATTACATACTCAAATGTAATACGTAACGTATTCCTGAGATCGAATACTTCACGTGGAGTGCAATCAGGTTAGACAACTCTATTTCATGTATCTAATGCTTTATGGAACAGATTGCTGTCTCACCACATCAGAAGGAAATGAATGAGATAGATGGAAATGCAATCTATCATTGTACCTTGGTAAGCATTCGCGAACTGTCTTCGCTCAATACTGAAGATCAGATGGCCGGAAAGAATCACCAACAAGGAATTATGGGAACAAACAAAGCAAGAACCAATCGCCCAACAAATATGCAGGAGAAAGTGGAGATGGATCGGACACTCGCTGAGGAGACCGCTGGGTGACATCGCGCGCCAAGCCCTCGAGTGGAACTCGAAAGGGAAGCGGCGTGTGGGACGTCCAAGGGTGACATGGAGAAGACCGTGTGAAGAGGAGTTGAAAGAATATGGATTAACATGGATGCAGGCGAAAAGTATAGCAGAAGACAGAAGAAAATGGAGACGTGCAGTTGAAGCCCTATGTTCCACTAGGAACCCAAAGGAGCAATAATAATAAAATAAAAAATAAAGCATTCGCGAAAATCCAATAGTTATTTTAATTGTTCAAAAGTTATTGGTCACCTATGATCTCACTGAGAAACATACAGGATATTCTTCTCATTACATTAAAACAGTTGGTCATCTGCGGATGGAGTGATGCAGAATTACAAAATTTGGAATGATGACTTTGAATGTTACTTGTCGATTACATGAATGATTGGGGTTGGTGATTTACTGCATGCGTCTATCAATTCATCGGCCAAAATACTGAGGTAAGAATGTTGGTCGTTTGCTATTCTGAGGTATCATCAAATATTCACCCTCATGATTCCAATAAGTAGAACAGGGATCCCTCCCTCACAGCTGTGTTCTCAAACACATTATCGATTCTGCACATCGAGCGAACTGGCAATTCAACTTCACAGTCATACACAGATTACCCTACAATTCATGATTAATCCCCATCCATACATTAGTCAAAACAAAACATGTAGTCCAGTGAAGATGCTCCTTCTGGTGAATTCATCTTCCTCCATAGCTGCATAATCGCATTTGAATTCAACCCATTGTTTTATTCAAAGAGGTGATGAGTTGTCACAAACAAAGTTGTTCAGATGAGTCAGTGAATAAAGGCAAGTTCACAGAGGAGTGTATCATAGATACGTAAAAAGTTGAAATATTTATTGAATGAGCTGTGATCAGGATGGCCATAGAAGCTAAGGAAAGTATTGAATTACGTAAGAGTGAGTTATGAAGAAATACAAGAATTCAGAGAAGTCAGAATAACAGACAAGGAGACGAACAAAATTCAGTTTAGTAGGAATCAACGAGGACGTAAACATGCCAGTAGAAATGGTTGAATAAATTACTCTGTATGCATAGTCCGATGTTTAGACATGAGTCAGTAAGCCTTCAGTAATGCAAAAATCACATGAGCGTACTGTCTGTAGCAGGATCTTCTCTATGAGACTTCGTAGCAAGACTTCAGAGGGTGAGAAATTACGAAGAGTTAAAAACCCACAAATATATGTGGATTACAGACGATCAGTTACTCACTAGTTAGTTCTCCCTCAACTTGTGCATCACACATGTGCACGGTAGTGATAGCGGGTAGCCTGTGTAAAACGGCACACTGTTGAATACTGTCACAACTACCTCAAACCAACACTGAATTTTATCCCCTAAATATCCATCAACAAATATATTCATCAAATACTCATACATACCCATAAACAACACTGTGCATGTGCGTGACTTCCTAATACGTGGTGAGCATTATTCGCTAATCAGTCCAACACAGGGTTTTATGAAGGAATAATCAGGTCATGTGTCACATGCAGTATACATTAGTCACTGATCGTAGGTAGTTTAGCCTCTGATTCACTCGTCATATTGTGTGTAGCTAACTGAAGCATTTCGGCGAAGTACCACCTTTTCATTCAGACATTTATGTCTACACTAACTGTTCTATCGCAATGTTTCCCGTCTTCTTGGGAAATTCGACTGTTACTCCGAAACGTCGTCGTCCTAACCATACCCTCTTAAGCGTTCATACACAACAGGCTGATGAGCAGATTTGGTGTTTAGAACCATATGTACTGATGTATGCGAAAACATTGGACTGCATTCACGTATGTTCAGTGATAGGCTTTACTTAAGAAGAATGCTATTTCGTGTGGAATTGCATCGTGGCAGTTCATGCGTTTCTCGTAATCACATCACTCGCATATTACTGTATGTAATTTCATTTGTACAATTTGTCACTAAATACATATACTATGTCATTTAATTCCTTGTCACCTATGTGAAGTAACAACAGTATAAGAATGCAAGTGAAGTATTGAGAGAATGTCATTGAAGTTCAACCTGAATGAAATCTAATGTGAAGAGACCAGAAACAAATGATGGGACAATCCACTACCCATCGAAACATCACGTAAGCCAAGTAGAGGGAAATCTGCCTGTCTATTTTGAACATCTCAAAGAATATCGAGGAAGTACTGAATACAATTCATTTGATCAGACACCATCATGCTAGTAGATACATTAACCACGAAGTTCAAAGATCGCGGAAACAGAAAGTCCCCACAACACGGAAAAAATAACACAGAAGTGTAGGTGAATACAAATATTATTTCAAAAATTACATCACACAGATACACAGTCTTCACAATTTGATGACAACAAAAGGAATTAATGAAACAGATGGGGTAGAAAAAGAGTGAGAGAGAGAGAAAACAAGTGAGGAGAATTCGAAGACGAATCAATCAACTGAGATGATATGAGAATGTCAGCCGACCAATTTCGTCTCGAGTAACACACATGTTTACAAGGTATTCGAAATATAAGAAATCATCCAGACACCTTAGGAATGCAAACATCACTTCTCTCCGAATGTTTTCTTGTCCAGACATTTACCATAGAAACATCTGTTGCTGCAACACTCTTCATTCGTCTTACACGGTGAACTCATCTTGAGACAATTATGGACGCATGTTCCAGATCTAAGAGTGCTCATCTGGCATTCATATGGTGGACAAAACTTCTTCTCCATACTTGCAGTACAAGATTGTCCGAGGGCGATGCACTCACCTGGAATGTGAATGCAGTGAAACAGTGAGACGACACTTGCTTCTACAATCATCAGTGACAATAGAATATTGCGTGAAGAACACACAGAATGCACGTGGTGATGACGATATCATGTAGTCGTGTGTGTGTTACGAGCGGGTGTTCATGCACACTCGATATGAGTGTGATCGAGAAAATGAATGACAATCAATTTCAACTTGGTTCTATAATCATCTGAATCGAAGGAACACATGAAATGGTGGAGAGCTTCTGTTATCAATGTCGAAATGATGAATCGATGTCAAGATTCTTGTTGATATTTAAGCAACAACAAAAATTCTGAGGTCCGAAGAGTTCTCATCAACTGATAGCCCAATCAACGGATACAAACAGTCCGAATTCTCCAAAACTAATAACCTTCAAGGAAATGACGACCTACTGGGGGAGAGAAAATCAGAAATGTCAACTACTCACATGTCTCCAAATTTAAGCTGACATGCGAGTACACGTCAATGAAGATATTTCGATATCCTTAACGTCATTCGTGCATGCAAAAAGTGGAAGCCGTTTGATACAAATCGTCACATTGACTCAGACGTAGCTGAGAAACATAAATTTAGTTACTCGAGATGCACTGACTATTGTAAGCTGTATTGAACAACCCGCTGATATGAAGAAAGTGGCAACCCTCTGCATTCTGACAACATGCTACATCGAATAATGGCGTCGTGAGTAAACAAAATGGAGACAGTCTATTTCCGATTCCCATCAGCTACCTAGATCACCCGACATAAATGAGGACGTCTCGGGAGACAACTAGCACATAGTGGCGAAATGATTGTGTAATCAATCGCCTGCCTGGTTGGCCTTGTCCACTGTTGTCGACAGGTAGGATGCAGCCACTTCTCTCAAACGAGCGGGTGTTCCTCATCTCACTGAAATCCCTAATCACTTGCATGTTCGTCTAATTAGATAGTACAGTACAGTACAGTACATGACTTACTTGCATCTCCACACTTCCCGTCTATACACAGCTTGCTGCAACATTCTTCATTCTTCTGACATTGTGCTTTCAATTGATAACATGACTTCACACACGTCCCAGACCTGGGAGCCGTCATTTGACACTCGTTTGGTGGACAACACGTCTTCGTCAAGCTTGCAGCACAATATTTCCCAACGGGGATGCAGTCGCCTTGGTCACCTGGAATGTAGATTCAGACAGCAGAACCAACATCTCGATAATCACATTCATACAGATGAAAAAGTGTGCATATGATGTGAGTGGCAAGTGTGATCAAGGGGTGAAATGAATTGAGACTATGCTCTGGATATATCGATATCACGAGGATATAGTTGAAAGAGTGTCTTAAACTACTTGGATAACAACACCAATTGGTTGGCCCACATGTCCAATATTTCAAGAAATCACTCATCACATGCAAGAAAGCAGACCACCCACACAACCTTGATATATATATATATATATATATATTGCTTCGCCTAAAACCGAATAAAAATCTCACTCTCCGAGAGCATTCACAAGAAATTTTCAATGGACACGAAGTCATACAGACCTACAAACCCACAAATATATGCGGATTACAGACGACCAGTTACTCACTAGTTACGTGTCACTCACCTTGTGCATCACACATGTGGATGCTCAGGACAGCGAGTAGGTTGAGTAAAACGACACACTGTTGCATGTTTCCTACAATACTTCACTCTGTTAACTTCCACTCTCACACCCAACTCAGACGAACACTCACTTTTATACCCAAACTACCCATCATCAAATATATTCACCAAATACACACACACGTAAACAACAATATGAATGCTTATGATTTTCTAACACTCTATAGGGAGTACTCGAATTTCATCAAACCACCCACCCACACACACACACACACTCAAAATCTGTTATCTGATGGGCCATGAGGTCACACATCACGAACTATGTCACACGAGTAACACATCACATGTAGTAGATTTCCTTTTTGATGTGTTGACATTCGCATTCAAAATGTATTATTTTGTGTATTTCAGAGAGTCACTTTAATGAATCAGCACTACTTTTAGTGCACAATGCATCGGATTCCAGGAATCAATCCTACATCGCTTTCACTATTTTGTGATATTTTTGTGCTTATGAAAATCTTCATACTTCATGCACTGTTGTACTTCCAACGGAGGAATTACTCATAGCATAACATGGAAGGCAGTTAACGTAACCAGTATGGATTTTGATATTGTGGAGAGAGGGAGAGGGTGATCCAGTGGCCACTATGTAGATGCGCGCAACAATAGCTTTGTTGAAGGACTAGGACTGCTTGAAAAGTGTATTGTCGATGCATAGCACAGCCTAAACAGTGTGATGAAATCGCTGCATGTCTGTTCACTTTTTGTAACAAAAAAGAAGTCTTGCATCATTTAATGAAAATTAAGGAAAAGATGATTCGCACGTAATGTGAAAGATACTTCGTATTATTCATAATAGTGAAATTTGAACTACGATCATTCGTGCAGGTGAAGAACAACAACAAATTTGTCTTCACACAGACACACAATAAGAGCTTGATATTATTCACAACTGTAGGCTATAATGTACACATATGATAGATTTTGAATAACATCTTATGATCCTGATATGTTGAAATCCGATTGAGAGGAAGGAGAAACCTGGTGTGCTCCTCACCTGTGAAAATAAGAAGTAATTCCATCAGTCATGCAATCTCATAATGAAGTGAATGCTCGGGCGAATCCTCATTCACAAATGTGTATTCTACTGGATTAATTGAGAAAAAGGTGAAATTCATGGAGAAGTCTAGGAGAATCCAAACAGTACTGAGGACATTGCCGGTGATGAATATTGAATTTACAGGTGATACGGTGGTCGAGATTCTGAAAGAGACCAATCCAGATCAACGAGAAAATGAATTCTTTCCTGCTAAGCTATGGATCAGTTTGTACTATCGGAAATGATCAGTCAATGTGGGATGAATAGACAGCCACATTCGCCCACTTTAATCAATGATTACTAATTCACTTGCTCCTGTGGAGTTATTCATATTGGACGCATGAAAGACACGGTTTCTCGGAGCATATCTGAGCATTCTCCAGCAAAAACACCATGATGACAACTCAGGACAACTACCAGCTCAATTCTTCCACAGATGGTGCATTCAAATCACTCTGCTCCACCTGAGTCCCCTTTTAAAATCATCTATCTGATGAGACCGAATAATACAAGCGACATTGTATTTTGGCACTTGTGTGTGATGGAGGCTTCACCCTTTTCGTCGTCAATTCTGTTGACATCTTTGAGTGGTGGGAAGTACTAGGAGGAACATACTTGAAAATATAATGCGATACTTAGTTTTATAAATATAACTATCGTCAATGAAATAGTGCTGAACATTTGATTGACTGCTGCTCTAACTACTAGTTTATATACAGTAGTCTAATCAGGTGCTCAGCATTTCGACTCCAATGAACAACAAACCAATGTCAGCTTATGATGAAATTCTGTTACCTATCAATCAAATCCCTACGAACCAATGCTTGAATACCTCATTGTGTTTCTCAGTCAGTATAAGTATATGACTGAACACTGTCCTATACAACTAGCTGACAAATATGAAACACCCCACCTGGATTCTCCTAGTAGGCATCATTTATAAAACAACATCAGACTGTCATCACAGGTGTCATTTAGGTTTCTTTTATATAAGAGAGAAAAGAACAAGAAGGACAGCAGCAAAGACACTTCTCTGGCGATTTCACTTCTGAAGGCTGTTGTACAATCACACCTACATACATACCTCTACACAGATACAATTATAGCTTTTTTAATTCCATGTGATAATGGCGAAGGAGGAGATTAGAAGTGATCATGTTTTCTCGCTCGATAGGAAAGTTCAAGGATGCAGAGGAACTGTGAAAGAATATTATGCAAGATTAGAAAATATATTTTATCGGATAAAGGCATGAGTGGAATGACGATGGAAGGAAATTGAAATCATAATACGTCATATAATTGTAAATGAAAAATTCATGAAGGGGTAAGATATACGAGACCTAAGGAAACAAACCGAACTAGTTCTATGGTAAATATGGAAGGTGGAATATTTTCCTCGAACATACAGCTCTCGCTGTTCTATGCATACAGCGAAGGCTTCTACAGTGCAAAGAATTTAAAAAGACGCTGTCTTCAGTAGACTTTTGCTTACTTTGTAAATGAATCTGAATGATGGGTCAGGTGAGATGCTGTGACAGGTGTTGACGAGGTGTTCACTTATAGCGTTTCTGATTGAATCCGTGCTTCCTCTTTGCAGCCATGCTGGGCAATTTTATGTGACTACCTCGATAAGGTAATGAGCCATAAATCGTCCTCGAAATGAGGTGGTCAGTGAAGACTCCTGTATAACACAGTGTGATTTTATCAAAATAAAATTTATCCATGTTGGAGTCATACTCTAGCACAGTGCCTAAGTTTTATTCTTATATCAATAATTTCTCTAGCACGTTTTCAAAAATGCCACACGGAAATCTCTGTGTTTCTAGCTTCGCACGAGCTGGTGAGGTGATGAGAGCTATTTCTCAACTGACAGGTATCTGACTGTAGATGTTTTCTAGTTGGCTATTCCATGATTCCCTACTGTAGATAGGTCTTTTCAGAAGCTTTTCATCTATTCGTGTCAATTCGACGGTCCAAAAATGGAATCTTGATTCACTTTCAAATTGCATTGTGAATTTAATTGAAGGATGTTAGTTGGAGTTTAAATCAGAATCATCATGACAGACTATTAAAGTATCGTACACATACGTTTTTGTACAGCAGTAATTTGTCGATTGGTGATTTTAAGATCCTATTTTCCAAACTGGCTATAAAGTAACCTACCGAAAGTGTGCTAAAAGGCCAGAGAGCCCAAGATATTTCCATTTTTCTGCCTGTAGATAGCGTTGTTCAAGATGAATTGAACACCAAATGTCCATTTAAACAGCAACTGTTCCAGGTATGAGGTTCGTACTCAGATGCTCACATTCCTGTCCTAGATATATAATATCCATGGGAAACAAATTGATTCTGTGAGCCACACAGACTCTGATTAGCTGATATGAAGAGATGTGACACTGATAGTTTTGGTTCAGTAAAAGGAAACAATTAATCCTCATATTATTGTAGTATTTTGTTGTAATCGTAAAATTAGTATTTCGAGATGACCGAATTACACGAATCCAACCAAAACACAGAGAGGGCAGAACTCAGGAATTTGTATTTTACGGAATTATTATGCAATTCATAGAAGAAACATATTAACAGTCAACAGTAATTATTAAAACAATACAGAGATAGAAATTGTCAATCACCACAATTATGTAAGAGAATCTAATGAATGATGCTCAAAATGTTTGACAACCAAAACTTCAGCTCATCTAACAGTCTACTCTGATTTAATGTGACAGCAAACGTCATCTGTCTATAAACGGACAAGCCGGCTTATTCGATGAAAGTACAAAGCATGAGACATTAATCAGTTGTACGCCTAAACTCAGAAATCTTGGAATATATATGCGTTAAGATGGTTAAATGAATTGTTGAATTGCACAAGTCAAAGCAGAACTTAGAAAGGTGTCTGAATTTTATCGCTACAGAGACTATTCTCAGTTAAGATGAAGACGGTCATACTGAAATGAAGACACATATAAGCCAATGTGTTGACGGTCAACAATAATTCAAAGACTGATTCAAGTAATTGGTTGTCGAAAACGTAATTTTTATCCAACACATCCGTAATGAGTGTGCACTGTTTGCGATGCTCATCGTTGTAGTGCCTCATTAAAACAAACAAACGCAATGTAATCGGAAGTATTCACACGTTTGAGATTTAAAGACAAGTAGGAACTCATGGGTGTTTACATTTCATGCGAATGTTTGAGTGGTCACTATGCTTAACTCATAGCCTAAGGATTCAGGCCTTCACTAGATCATGACTGTGAGCTGGTGAGGAGTTCAAATCTCCAATATAGATCAGGTTTAGAGCTCTCGCTTCACATGCATCTCCACCCATACCTACACAATTATCTAAATGTCCAGTCTCCTACGTTTCAAATAACTCCATAAACGATGTTGCATTGAGATGGAATATACGTTGAGGTTATCGAAGCATTGTATTTAAGCACTTATCATTAACCCTA